ATGATCTAAAAACGGGTCCTTTCAGCTTGAGAGCTGTATGAGGAAATTAACACCCACATGAGATTTCTCTGACCACGCACATGCAGCATAGCCTTCTTGCACGTTTTTCGGTTTTGGACAACTGTGTTGGATGTGAATTTTCCGCCATTGCCGAGTTGTCGTTCTATTTTGATGGGACATATAGGTTTGCATGTGCCACCAAAGCAGGATGCAGCCATGTCCTGGTTTTGTTTTTTTTGTCCCTTTTGCTTCAACCTTCCCTTGTTATGTATTCTTTTCTTTTGGTCGTAGAGCGCTCCTTGCTGATCAGGTGAGGACAAACATTATCGAGGAGCGAGTGGCTGTCCTCAGAGCACTCGAGCCGTCAGTGGCTGTCCTCGACGGAGACGATGGAGACTCTGGACAAGAGGAACTCAGAGACCGTCGCATGAAGTCTCCATTCACACCGGAGTTCATCACGAGCAGCGTTTTTCGCTTTTATTTTTTCCCCAAGCAGTGTGGTCACACACTAGGGGTTCAGCACCGGCAGTGGTTAAGCACCGGTGTTTCACGTTCTTTTTGGATTGCCAGGGTATGCCACAGAGGAGTCGCAACGGACTGAACCTGCAGTGAGGCAAAAGATGATCTTCAGGAAGAGAACTTGCAGCTGCGAAGGCCCAGCGCATTGGGGTAACTTGGGAGGGTGCCACTTTTCTCCGCTTGAGGGTGGTGATCTCGAGGTGGTGAGAGTTGGTGAAAGGGGGCGTTACAGATCATTTGAGAGGACTTTGTGAGGAAAAACTGGGTGGCAGACTGATGTGACCACATCTATGACCACATCTGTGGCCTCCAGGGCTCAAGTGGAGATGAAGACACGGCTGCAGAAGCTTCAGGCTCGAGGGTGGGAGCTGAGTGCGAAACCTGGAGGGAGGTTTCGTTGGACTTTTGGGACTATCTTGCGTTGGACTCTGGATCTCTTTGGGTGGAAGAAAGAGAGAGAGAGAGAGAGAGAGCCGATGGCCATGAAAAAGCTCAGGAAGACACTACATATATAGAGAGTATGACTGGTGCGGAGAGGTCGAAGACCTTTTTGGGCAAGCCGGGGGGAAAAAAAGGACCTCTGGAAGGGGAAGAGTAAAGCATTTTGGTCACTTGACGCCCCGAATTTCGAGCTGAGGATTCATTTACTGGTGTGCATGGGATTGAAATGCATCCCGCTGCTGAACAACCAAGAAACACATGCGAGTGAACTGACGAGTGTGGGGAAAGAAGAAGAATTTGTGCTTCGGTGGCGGCGGGCCAGGTGGAGGCCGGGGACCATTTCCAGGGCACCATACATCCTCATTGCTCGCTTCATGCCATTGCATGCCACTGTTGGAGGCCATGGCTACTAGGTTCAAGACCATCGCTACTTGGTGGGAGGCCATGGCTAGGTTGGACTCTTTCGCCTCCCAGCCGAGCTCCCCGAGTCGGTCGCTCCGTCAACGACAGCTGCTTCGCGCCTTTGCGCGGGAGGTGCAGATCCGGAACGCGCAGGAGGAGCCGAAGGACACGAAAGCTTTTGAGCAGAAGGCCGCAGAACACCGGGGACCCTACTGGGGAATCTGGACAGGTCGTGAGGTCCTGGAAACTGGGAACCTTCCAAGAGAGGTTAAGAGTTATTCTTAAATAGGACCCTAGGACCCGTCACCTGCATTACCGAACTGGGACCTATGGGATAGTCTATGGCTTCATTCAACCTCTGTTGCTTCACTTTTCGGCCCAGCGAACTGAGATCACAAGTGACTTGCGGAGTGAACCTGCCTTCATGACCCCGCCGTTCCGTCACAAGGCTTCGGAAGTGGAGGAACTCCAGCGCGCCCTTTCAGCCCCTGGCCGTGCCAAGGCGCGTTGGGATGGCTTTGGAGGGTGAAAAGGGGGGAGAACACATGGCAACAGAAGGGGAAGGCCAAAGGGGAAGGCTGCATGCAAGAAAGAAGAGAAACGAACTCTTTTTCATTGAAGGGCGCCGTCGTGTTTTCCAGTGCCGTATTCATTCTTTGGGAAGCTTTCATGGTAGATCATCTTCAAATGCACCTGTATGACCGATTGTCCGTATATCAAGCTTGCTTCCGACCTGACCAGAGGAGAGCATTTGCTACCAGGGATGTCTATTAATGTAGAGGGCATTATATCAAGAGCCAACTCCAACGATCAACCGGTTCTTTTTTTCTAGATCATAAACCTGGCCTTCCGGGATCTTCGATCTTCAGGGTATCTGATATTCTTTCTCAGAGCTTCAATATCTTCACAGCTGAAGACGCTTCGGCCCCGGGCGCATGTCTCACGGTCCGAGGCGTCCACATCACCCGGAGCGCGGCGCGGTGTGCGCTCCAGGCAGCGATGAGCCGTGCTTGTGCACCTATGTAGAGTGGGTGGGTGGGTGGGTGGGTGGGTGGGTCAAATAAAGAGACCTTCAATACTACTCATCGATGAAAGTAGCTGAATCTATCCATTCATTTGGATATAGACCATGGAGCAATTTTTCACAAGTATAGGCTGATATTCTATCCTGATAGTGGGTGATCTTCTATCTATACTCAGACGGTCCTACGGTCCTGCTGGCCGCCAGGCAGCCGCAGCGTCGCTTCCCAGGACGTTTGCGGGGCCGGATGACGGCGATGCCATTCGGCCAGGCATCGGAGCCAGAGTGACTGAGGGTGGCTGGATCCACAGGAATCGCTCAGCTTGGGGGCGAACCTCCCCGAACAATTTTCCCAAGCTCAAGCCTGTGGTTGCATTTCTTGCGTGGTTGAGCATGCCGCAGATGCCATTTTTGTTGGATACCTGGCTGCGTACCTGGCGCGCACACTGGCCTGCACAAAATGAAACGATGTCCGCATTCACAGTTAAACTGACTGGAGCTACTAGAGTAGACAGATTTGCAACGCCAACGCGCCAACATCCAGAAGATTCTTCACTCCTTTCTCAAACGCAACTGCCTCGCAGCTGCTGCGGCTCCACTCGCTTCTCGCTTTTGGCATTGACGCCGACGCCGCCATGGGGAAGGTCTGCTCACTCCTTTCCGGGCGTCAAGGGCCATTGGATGTCACGGATGTCTGCAATGCCATCAAGGAGGTTGAGCAGCGAGTCGAAGACTTGGGTCTTTTCCATGGAGCCAGCAGAGACCTAACGCCCAAAGCAGCCAAGCAGCTTGGAAGGTCGGCAAGTGTCTGGGAGGTGGGATTGGTTGAGGGGTATGTCACGTCGGTGAACCACTGTTTTGTGTTTCTGGTTTGTTTTGGGGTCTCTCCACGTCTTTGAAACAGGCAACAATCGCGGCTTTTTTTCATTCTCCAATGGCTGTCGTATGTCGTAACTGTCGTAATTTCTCAATTTTGTTGAAAGCTATTGAAAGCTTCAAAGTCAAGGACCTTCCAATTCAAACGCCTCAATTTACCCAACCTCAAGGGTAGAAAACCCTGTAAAATCATTCACACTTCGATCTACCCCCAAGTGTTTTGGGTGTCTACTGCTTCTTCACCACGCCGAGGCAAGAGCCCTTGCAGGGGTCTCGTCGAAGCCTGCTGATTGGCTGCAACTACGTGGGCACCTCCAACGAGCTCCAGGGCTGTGCCAATGACGTGCGACGGATGATTCCCGTGCTGGCCGCTGGGCAGAGGGTCGGATCGCCGGGCGGAGGGGGTGAGAGAGACTGAGACAGGGTGTGCCTGGGTGTAGATGAAACTCCCGACATGTGGGTCTGCCGAGAAGCTGGAGTTCTTCATTCAGAAACGTGAGGTCGCGGGATCACCTGGTTGCGCCAAGCGCATGGTGATCCAAACAGCGAAACATGTAGAAGGACATGTCGTTGAGTGCGCATCAACGTCTTATTGTTGAGTACACAGAGGTGGGCCCAGCCCGTGCGTGGGGTGCGTGGGGTGCATCCTGCCGCCTCTGTGGGCGAGTCCAGAGGCACCAAAAGCCTCTGCACACTGAGGAGAAGCTGGGCTTTCCGTCAGACCACGCAAATCAAAAGGCGTGGGGGTTGTGGTACTACCAGCAGTTTCCATGTCGGAATGGTTTTCAGTCCCATCCAGTGAGTTGATGTTCTGGGGGCCCGCTACCGTAGGCCCTAGGCACCCCTTTGGAACTGCTAGCGTATGATGAGCTCACATCGGTTTCCTCCTTCCAATTTCCCGTCCAAAACAACAACAAACAACAGATCTTCCATTCTCTTATGGTCCGTCTGCATTAACCTTGCTTGTTGGGAATATCCACCCATCTTCCCCTGGTGCTGGAGGTGCTCTTGGATGATAAGGAGTCCAGTGGTCATCAAGCGCCTACGCGCGCGAACATGCTGGAAGCCATGGACTGGTTAGTGGCCGAAGCGCAAGCTGGAGACGCCTTGCTGCTCCACTATTCGGGCCATGGGGGGCGTGAGCCGGCGGAGGGCGAGCATGGTTACCATGAGACATTGGTGCCCTTGGATTTCGAAACTGCAGGCGCGGAGGATGATTGGAGGTGTCCAGAAGTTTCCAATTCTGGGAATTACATCACAGAAGAACACACTCTAGGACAAATGGCTACTGCCAATGATTGGCAAACATTGTTCAACCGCTTCTGCTTATTGCTTCTTTCTTGAAGAAGTTTCTTTTTAAAGGACATCCTTCTGTGTTGAACTCCCGTTACGCACCTCCCCGGTGATACTCGCGTCACTCCAGGCATGCTCCGGGATACCGAGCTCTTCGAGCGCTTAGTGAAGCGAATCCCCGCAGGCGCGCAGACTGCGCGGCGCACCCGTCAGCGCGCTGGTGGTAGAAGTGCAAATGAGAGACGTCAGCGTGCTGGGGTGGGCCTTTGTGTTTGGTGTTTGGTCTTAGTCTTACATCGACCAATCCAAGCAACACGATTGCCAGATATTGCCAGGCTGTTGATACCAACAACAATTGATGTTTGTAGCTTCGGGAACAACTACAGGGGCGAAGGCAAGAAGCCAGGATTTGGGTGAATGTGGCATCTGGCATCTAACATCCGCTTTTGGCAGATTCCGACTGAACATCAAACGGTCTGTCGTTCAACATGCTGGACCCCAAGAGCTGCCCAAAAACTGCTGCCATTCAGCTGTCAGGTTGTCGCTTGACCTGCATTTTAGACAGCTGCCACAGCGCCGGCGCTTTGAACCTGCCCTACATCTTCGTGGGGACTGAGGAGCCGCAGGGGAGCTGGAGCCGCGCACGCGGGCGTTCGCGCAGCGGCTGTGTGGCTGCACCGGCGGTGTGAAAAGATTGATTTGCATAAGAAGATCAGGTAGGAGCTTGAGAAAAACCATATAACCCCCCTATATGTTGGGATTCAAACACCTCTGCATATTTCCGGGGGGTTTGATTCATCAAGATCCTGCATTAGCACAGATCAGAGAAATTCGACATAAGATGTTCTTGCCTTTGGTATCAGGCTTGGTCGCCCACCAAAGCACCTGCTGAGGGATTCATGAAGATTTCTTGGGGTGGAGTTTGGGATGATAGTGAAAACATCAGAGTCTATTTGAAGGTTCGGGTGAGCACTTTTCTACTCCTAACCTTCACGGATTCAGGGAAGATGCGCCGAATCCAAAACAGGGTTGTCACCAAAGGTTTCATGTTAGATGACAAGAAAGGACTCTTGAGATGAAGAAGGGGTTATTTTGCTTTGTTTTCCATAGAAACATGTAGGCCCTGGGAACCTGCTCTTTGAGAGGAAGAGCTGCAGAAAGCAGTGGCAGGGGAGGCAGTGAGGATGGCACTCGCTGTGAAGTGGAAATCCGACTTTGAGAAATGGACCCAGGGCTCCTCCAAGGAGCTCTTCACTGATGTAAGCGCTCTTGGCAACTGCTTCTGAGCAACGGTCAGTTTTTTAAAGGCATTTTCTGGATTTTCTGCCTTCCCAAGTTGAAGGAAGCCAAGTCATGCAACAGACTGAAGGCTTCCAACACACGAGAGCAAGTAACTAGGCTTTTCGCATACATATGGGGATGGGTCAAAACCTGGATCCTCGACACCATGTAGCTTGACCTTCAACATCTCTTTGACATGGTCTTAGGATGTTCAGCCAGTACATTGGCCCAACCATTCAACAGATCACGGCATTTCTATCCAGCTGTTCCAGTGTCCACCATCAATCCACCCTAGCTTGGTTTACTGGATAGAGTCCGATTGCTTCAACCTGTCCATCCACGCCACGCCGCTTTTGGAAGGGTGGAGTTCCCAACCTTCCGGTGAAGGCAAGAATCTCTGGCAGATGTACCACGAGGGCTCCTCCAACGGCTTTCTCACCGACGAAGCCTCTTCCACGCAGCAGCTGGTCGCCGTCGGAGAGGTCGTGGCCCTCACCGGCTGCCGCTCCGACCAGACCTCCGCGGACGTGGCGGACGTAGCGACCTTCGGCTTGGTGGAGAACGCCGCGGGAGGAGCGCTGACCTCCGTCTTGGTGGAGGTCCTCGAGGCGCATGGTTGGCCCGGCCCGTTGGCCCCTTGGGAGCGCCCGTGGTTGGGGTGCAGAGCTGGAGGGGGTTTAGGAGACGTGCTTCATTTTTGGAGTGCCGACGTTGTCTTTGTGTTGGTGTTCGTTGTTGCTGCTGTCTGCTGTTGTCGTCATAGTTTCAAAGAGATGAAGATAGATGTTGGATGTGAGAGCCGCGAGAGCTGCTTCTCAGATTCAGATTCACGAGGCCCAATGCCACTGACGTCGTGTTTTTTTGTTTTTTTTTAACAGAGATCCGACAGCACCTCCCTGGAGGCTGGAGAGGAGCTGACCTATGCAGAGTTGTTGGAGCGGATGAGGCAGGAACTCTCACAGAAGGGGCTTCCTGGAGAGAATGGACCGGGGGTCGGCGGATTTGCTGAATAAGATTCTACTCACTTGGACTCAGATAGGACTTGGACTGGGAGTTTGTTTCCAAGCATCAGGCATTTTCTTGACCGGTTGCGAACCTGTTCATTCCCAATCGCTTGGCAGAACGTGGAGAATCTTAGAACCACTGCCGTTCTGCCGTTTGGCCATTTGTGTCTACCGTGCAATCGGGGTATGGTATGAACAAAATGCTTGATTCAGTAGCGGGGAAGTTGGCTCAAAGAAGTTTTATGAAGGGACGTGGGATTAAACACGATTAGTCCTCAGCCTCGCTGATGAAGATTGCTGGTTTTCCATTGAGTTCCAAGGTTCTCTCAAGTGCCGCAGTTCGTGTCCTCCTTGTTGGTGGAACTTAAGCAGCCTTTCAAACTGGACAGCATTTGGGTGGAGGACACAGAGCAGTGATGCAAGAGATGCATCTGCCAATTCAGGTCATAACCGACCAAGAACACGCTCACATTTCGTGGGCCTTTTGCCTTTCTGACGTTTTTAGTGGTCGAGGTGTGCACCCATTGGGCAGCTGCCCTGTTACTACTAGTAAGGCACCTGTTACTACTAGCGTGGCACCTGTTACTACCAGTAAGGCACTTGTTCCTAGTAGCGAAATAGATTGTATCGAACCAATGAGCAACACCTTGACCGCTGACTGCGTGGAGCCCTTCCACTGGACGGTCGTGTGTTTGGACGCCCTATGTCCGGTGCTTTTTGCGCCCGGGGCCGCTGTGTTTGGACGCCTCGTGGGCAGCGTCTTTCGAGCAAAATGAGCAGATTCTGCCGTCGTGGTTGGTTGCATTGGCCTTTGTTGCTAGTAGCGTCCTTGTTCCTAGTAGGAATGGCCTCCAACCTAATAGCGATGGCCTTCACCTAGTAGCGTCCTTGCTACTAGTATTTCTGTTTGTCAAACAAAGATCGTCTTTGTGAGAACTTGGGTGTTTTCTCGGCAAGGGGCATGAGGGCATGTTTTGCTTCTCTATATTGTTTGAGGCCCACCATCTAAGGATACTGTTTTCCTTGTTCTTTCCACTGTTGCTCCTGGGAGATGGGACTGGTTTCCAACTCCCTTCAATTTTCATGAGGAAGCCGCTGCCTCTGCTTGATGCTTGGACATGAGTGGGACTTACAGAGACCCATGCGGGTGGCGTTCCCTTCCTTCTTTGGCATTCCAAGAGCGAGGTGATCACAGGCCACAGGGTGGTTTTCACCCTACCTGGGCTATGGCCTGCTTCAATCGCAGTGTGCAGACCCGCTGACGCCGTCGCCCGCCTTCTTCGCCGTCGCCTGAGGGCTACGGCGGTGAGCTCCGGCCCAGCTCGCCGGTACGGGCTGGAGTGTTGCCAGCCTGAAGCTGAGGAGCTCATGGGGAAGACCATGCCATGCCAGCATATCCTCCAGGACATGAACACTGAGATTGAAACCATGTCCATGTGCGATGTACATGATGGGTCTCCTTGGATTTATATGATGCACTCCTCCAAAAATGGATCATATGGAAACTGAAGAAGCAGGTCTCCAAGAAGAATCACTTGGACAAGTTAGTGCCTTTTTCGGTGGTACAGGAATTCTGCCGACAAGGAAAGTGGTGCCTCTGCAAAACTCAAACAAGTCGCCAATGCATCACATTCTGATGCTAAATTCAGATGCATCATCCAATTTTCAGATGGTTTGCTTGTTTCTCAGTAGTTTTCCATATTCTCCCGGTGTCAATGGCACCCCAAATCATTCACCGTGACTCACCAACTTCGTCTCTGGAAGAACCAACTGTCAAAACGGGTGTTTTTTTCTTGTGACTTTGACTACATATATGTCATTCTTGTTTGCCCAAAAGTTTTTTTCCCCCAGAAAACAGCCTTGGACATATGACACATGTCCTGATTTGTTCCAGAGCTTTGGGGTGCCCAAAGCTTTTGAGGTCACCATCCGAAGGCCCTGCACGTCCAGCTCTTAGGCCCTACATATTCAGCCGGAGCTTAGCCCTTCCAGGCAGAGCAGGCAGGGAAGCTTTCCACGCCTGTGGGGCAGAGAGTGTCAGCATGGCTTGAGAATCATCCCAAAACAAGATGCTTCAACATCATCATCATCATCGTCGTCGTCATCATCATCATCATCATCATCATCATCGCTTTCTCAGCACCCATCAGTGATGGTTGCGTGGACCTCAGGTGGGTCCTGGCCAGTTTGCTCCGAGCCTAAGATCTCGTGAAAGAGGCATCCAGCAGCAATAGTTCTGCACCATTGTGACGGCGGGCCATGCAGTCTGGCTGGCCCAGATGAGGCTGCTTGCGGTGTGGCGGTGGCCTGGCAAGAGGCTCGGGTGTGGCTGCATCCTCTTGCGTTACGATGTGCATTAAAGCTAGTTCTGATGCCGCCGCAAAAAGATGCACAGAAAACGCAAAGACAAGTCACCAAGGAAAGCGTTGGAATGCACAAAAAAGCAAGCAAACTGCAAAAACATCTAAATTGTCAACTAAAGAATTGAAACAGCAAAGCATAAAGCAAAAAGAATGCACCAACAAAAACAAGAGGCAAACAAACCGTAGCAAAAAAGCGCTGGTCTTTGCTTATGCTTTGTTTTTGATGCTTTTTTGCCTTTAGATTGCCTGTCCTTTGCGTTGTTTTTGTTGCTTTGCATTTTTCATTTCCCGGGAAAACTGCAAAAACGTCGCAAACACATGGCGAACAAAACGCAAAACCTCGGAAAACATAAGCATATTAAACCTGCGCGCAAAATGCGCAAACATCGCAAAACACACACAAACAAGGTGGTGTGTTAGATTGGTTGTGCGCGTGCACTTTTTGGTTGTTTCGCGTTTTGTTTGCTTTTTTTTGCGGCGTCATTTTGCAATTTTGCACTCTTTTTGACCAGCTGCCTTCTTTTCATTTTAATGCGTTTCTTTGCTTTTCCTGGCCATCATTTCTGAGTGCGGTTTTGCCCTTATGTTGCTTATTTTTTAACGAACCCTTGCGATTTCAGAGTTACAAGGTGAACTGGAAGTAAGGAAAGATTTGATGTTATTTTTCAAAAACATCAACGAAGAAAACTTCGAGATAACTTCCAAAGAGCTAAACGTGTTCAAAAATCAGACTTTGGTTGAAAATGTGTTTATGTACAAAACAGGTAAATCTGTGTGTGTTTTTTCAGGGTAGACTGTATGCACTTTTCGTTGGTTCTTGATGTTTTGTTAAATTTGATTATCCTTGGGCCGCAAGTTTTGTTAAAATTAATATACAAAAGTTGCAAACAATTGTTATTTATCTTCAGAGACGCAGCGACCGCGCGCGCTCGGGCTTTTTACCGCGAGTTGGCATGCCTGCTCTGCGCTCTGCGGCTGTGACCTGTCGCGAGCACTCCACGGCGCCACACTCCGCAGGACATGCCAAGACAGCACCGCGGCGCGGCCGCAGTCAGTGCATCATTCCACGCAAGTCATACCACGACTCCCCCGTCACAAGCTCCCCCAATAAGCTCAGTAAAGTGACCCTTGACAAGCGTGATGTCCATGCTCGAGAAGTTCAAGGACAGTGTGGGGCACAAGACCATCAGGTCTAATTTCAGTGCTTGACGATCAGAAGAGTGCTGGAACTTGGTGATGTCTTATAGTGCACGAAGAGAGCAAGTTCAATCGTCATCATCGTCACAAGCAGCAGCAACAACAGCAGCGGCAATGGCGTCGACACCAACATTAACATCATCATCAACATCGTCATCGTCATCATCATCACCAGCAGCAGCAACAACAGCAGCAGAAACAACATCAACATCAGCGTCATGATGATCATCATCACCGTCAGCAGCAGCAGCAACAACAAAATCAACGTCAACATCATCAGCATTACCATCAACATTATCACCAACAGCAACATCAACATCATCGTCAGCAACAACAACATCAACATTAACATCATCATCATCATCATCGTCATCATCAGCATCATCATCCAAGTGTACATTGGGAAATGGAACCAAATAGGGCCAACCTGCAAAACCATAGGTGTGCATGGTTTGGGTCGGGATTTATGTGTTAGTTGATCCATTTGTGGAGGTGCTCTATTTTTAGAAGAACTTGTTTCACAATGTCGATATTGTAGGGTGAAAGGATTTACATGTGTTGCCCCAGACTTTTAAACATTTGCTTCTGACACACATGAAGAACCAACAATTCACAAACACATCTACGACATGATCTCGGCATGCCTACGAACAGATTGAATGCCATGTAAATGCCTTGGCTCTTGGACCTCCGACTCACAGAGACACGGTGAGACACATGAATAATCAGTGATTGCAAGTTGCCAGGTGTGTTTGTTGGTCCAGTGTTCGTGCTCGGCAATCGGAACGCATGGGACGATTTTCCTCTAGATTTGGCATTTGTCGTGCTGAGTGTTCGCACACCTCGCTATTTCCATCTTTCCCAGTTCTGCGAGGCCGGGTAGCCCCGCAGGAAGACTTTCGCCTCAGGCACCACTTGTGGAGAAGAGGGGGAGAATGTTAAGTGATGGTGATGGATCAACCCTGAAAAAAGTTGCTTGGGACTCCTACTGCAGCCCGTGGAGGTTTCTCGACTTGTAGTTGAGATCCTAGTTCGGTATGTTCCGTAACCATCGACAAAAGTCCTTGTGCCCTTGTTTGGGCCTTGTGGATGGGAGTCCAAGAATGAAGAGATGTCCACTGATGAATGAACCACATTTCAATCTTATGCAGCCGGTCAAAGGGTGGTGTGGTGGATTTCACTCAACTAAGTAGGTAGGTACGTATAGATGGAAATTTGTTTGCATCCACTTCCAGCACATGTGGGGACCACCATGAACCCCTTCGAAAGCTTCAGCCGCGCAGCACACCACACCACTGCCGCAGCAAAGGCGGAGTCACGGCGGAGCGCTTCACCCAGAGCACCTGAGAGGCAGCGGTGGCAGTCAGTGGGGTGGAATTCAACCTTCCATGATGTGACATGAGTGGAATGGAAGAGTTCCCGCCAGGAAAGAACTCCCTGCGAGAGGCGGCCCCAACTCCGTTCAATCGCATGTTTGATAGTGAAACCCGGGCAAAATGGAAAAATCATGAACATTCCACAGGGTTGGGAGGAGGGTTGGAAGGGCTTGCTTCCACTCAAGAACGCCGCGTTTCAACCGCGCGTTGGCAGAGCTTGCAGAAACCTGGTCGAGGCCACTGCCACCGCCTTCGTGGGGCACTCGGACAGAGGGCCACCAGAGGCGTGGCAAGGCGCAGGGGGGCGTTGGCGCCGGGGATACTCACTTGAACTCATGTGGTTTTGGACCCCAGAGGCTGCAGCATCTTGACCAGTGGCAGATCAACCCCCGTTGTAATTTGTAACTCAAGAGGATGTGAATCGATATGAACCCATGATGTTCTGATGAGGTCGGATTTTTGTTGCCATGTGAGTTCTTTGAACGTGTGACGAAGCTGGCAAGGTCTGCATGGACACCATGTAGAGTAAAATCATGTATGATTGCATCCCATATGCATTTGTCACGTGTCCACAATCTGTTAAAACAGTGTCGGTGCAAGCCTT